GGCAAGGGCACAAGTGGAGGTGTTTGTGAAATTGCAAGCACACATTTCAAAGTGGAAGTTTTACTTACTCTCAAACTGTAATTATCTGATTTAGAAAGTCTATTTGGATTCTAAATTTCTGTTGGGTTTTTGTTTTCTGAATTCCACTACTATATAACAAATGTTACAAACCAAACAAACTCTTTATGGGATCCTAAGAAGTCATATGCTTACGTATTCTGTTGGCTGACTGCAACAGTCAAACAAGAAAACACAAGTCTCAGAGTTGTACTGACATCATTGATTATGCCGATTCACAAACAAAGATGTCTCAGCACTATACAAGCCAACGCTTTTGTTGCTAAGCCAAAAATAGCAATGTTAATTTAATCTCTATTCAAACTGGAAGTTCTGGAGGCTGCAGCGGACAAAACAGGTGCCAGTCTATTCTGCTGCTTGCCAACAAAAAGAAAAAAAAAAAACAAAACCCACCTTTGGGTATCCACTGAAGACAATGAGAAAAAAGCTACTGCACACACCAAAAAATCTGATAAAAGTGGTCATCATCCTAAAGAGGGCATTATGAATACAATTATGAGAAGTTTCAACTATTACCAAGCACTTGATCAAACTTTTTCATAAGCAATTTGGTTACGGTAATCAAAAGATGAACGCTTTAGAGATTGAGGATTTGTTAGTCCTCCAGTTGCCCTCAAATGTACATAAGACACCAAGTTAGGCAAAAACTGAAACCAAATAAGTAATTCAGACATGCACTTTTTTCTCCCTAAGGACTCCAACTGTGTGAGGTGGTCACCATTCTTAAGTCCCACTGAGCTTAGAAAGACCTGCAGGTGTTCAGGATCTCCCAGGAGACACTCAGAATCCGTTCCTGAAATGTACTAAGTCAGTAGAGCCAATTGCTAAGAAGAGTGCCAAGTTCCAGAGGAGTGTCCTGGGAATTGTAGCAAAGACCAGGCAGATAAGCAAGTACAGAGACTGGCAAGTCATATTTTATTAAATAAACGGGGGCTCGGTGCTTTAATGGAGGAGGCTCTTCATACATTTTTCTTGCTAGTGAGTTTTGCTCAGGGCAGGATATGGCCCTTTGAGAGTATAGTTCCACTATTATAAAATAGTAATTTGAAGGGCATGTATTGTAAAACAATGTATCTACTTATTTCTGTATCAACAGAGCCTAAGGACCCCAAACAAGTTTCAGCTTATTAGGAGCTGTACAAACACACACTACAACGACCTTCCGGGCCCCAGAGAGCTCAAAACTTGGGATGACATATGCATATACACAAAAGTTAAGCCAATACTATTTCCCATGCACTTACTGTAAGTTAGACAGTATATTTGCTTGATAGACCAGACTGTTCCTTTACAATTCAAGATAATTTTAGATGATTTCATTAGTTTTTTGAAAGTTTGTTTGTACGTTTAATTTTAAGGAAAAAATACCTAAGTCTTGATGGACTGATCAAAGCTAAGAAATCACTAGCTAAGTCTGACAGACTCAATTGTTATTTTATTTCACTTCCCTGTTTTTTTACTTCCAAATATGATCTAATAGACAAAATATCAGTTTGTTTTCTTCTACTGCTCAACCCCATGTGCAAAGTTATTGACCAGATTGTGCCTCAAATTGCAAACTTGTGCTGCTACTCACGCGCCCGAGCACACAACGATGATGCTCACGCTACTCTATATCTGTCAAGTCCCACATTTCATTGGACCCAATAGATTTCAGTGAGACCCCAGTGACCAGACTTATGCCTGGCAGAATGGGTGGTGGAGACAAGTCTCAAATGGGACAGGAGGGAGCTATTTCAAAGAAAATGGAAACAACTGAACTCAAGAAGAAGATATAAAGAAAATGTGGAGAGAAAAAAAAATCAATATGACTTGACAGAAATGCTGCCTGGAAAGCAATTGGTACAAGCAGCGGATCTGGCAGGAAAGGTTCAGGTCACTAGAAATAAAATAAACTATGATCTGGGAGAAAAAAACATATTTCTTGGAAAGCCATGAGAAGTTCTCATAGACTTTAAGGTCAGAAGGGACCATTATGATCATCTGGTCTGAACCCCTGCATGCTGCAGGCCACAAAACTGTCCCTACCCCTTCCCTGGACTCTGCTGTTGAAGT